GTGGATGACGAGAGACGCTTGGGGAGTCTTCTTTGTGTGGATGAAGGAGGAGATGAACCACCATCTATGGACTCTCTCAACTTTTGAACCGTTATCTCAGTGTAGACTATTTCAAATGCTTGATCAATGACATTGCAGATATCCTCAGCTTGTTTCTATCATAAGAAATGTAGAAAGAGAGGACATTTTAGAGGGGAAAAGTTTTGCAAATAATTGCTTACCTTTTTGGTACATGCAAACACAAATAGTTGACAATGTGTACGACTCTCTCCTCCAACTTTCAATAGAAGGAGATTCTCCCTGTCATCATGTACATAACTAACTGAAGCAATCTCATGCAGACCAAATCGATGCAGTATTGACTATCATGTGAAGATAATGTTATGCTAAATAGCATGCAATATGAATTTGAAGTTTAGGTGGTTTTATTTGCTTCAAATTTAAAATGCAAGACAATGAGACAACTTTATGTACTTACAAAGTTCTCATCATTTCTGGTAATCTTTATGCCATAAGCTGATATCCAGAGTGTCACTCTCTCCTTTGCTCCAACCTTCCATGGTAGCTCACCATTAGTCTAAGAAGAAGACGTTAGTGTGAAAGAGCCTAGGTTGCTGTTTTTTATCTTACTCTTTTCTTGTCCAGTAATTTGAGAGTTTCGCTTCGACTGGATAGATTCTGGTGCATTGGAACACTTTGTAAGACACCAAGCAACTAAAATGCAACACAAATTATAACATCACAAGGACAATCAATTTCAGAGGCAATAGTTAAAGTTTCCCCATAGCAGTCTGCTTTAGTCTATGTGTGTATATGATTGCTACATATCATTAGCTTACATAGCAGTGCTTCTCTATTGATCCCTCAAGAAGATACTCAGGATTAAGGAGGAGTGTCCTTCCTTTATTACTGATGTGAAGTGTTGGCTCATGACTGCTTATTGGTAGCTGCAGGAAAGAAGATAAAATACTATCTAGTGCCAGCTTGCTTCTAAGTTACCTTAACACCGCTTGTTCTGTTTGGGGAGCCTGTATTCATCTTGTTTTGCGTTTTCTTTCCAGCAAGCAGCCCCACCCTTTGAGTTTAAAACTCACCACGCCCACTAGTAGCAAATGTAGGCGGGGCTGGATTCACACTGACACCCACGCATATCAGCTAAATCAAAATGCCCTCTCCCAGACTTTGTAGCCTGTTACTGAGAAGAAGGGATTCTGTTAGAAACTTTGCTCTAATTTCGCTACAGTTTAGCTGTGGGTCTTATTCTACAGCTACAAGCAGGACTTCTATTGATGGTACCACTTCTCTCTCACAGGAAGGGGCAAGGAGATTGGTCAGTGTTTTGAGTG